GTTTCTTCTAATTTCAAGGTATGATCAAGCATAAAATAAGTGAAATTTCATCTAGTTACCGCATCAAAACTATTAAGTGCTTTACATTCAACTTTCATTGTTGAACACAATTTTTAAATTTGGTCAATCTCTTGGAGGATGATCTAACATACCTCACTACCATATGAACATTAGAAATGGAGTCATCATTTACAACCAAGTTAATTATGTGGGCATAACACCTCATTGTAATATTTTTTTGACGAGTAATTCTAACATTTAAGCCTTCTCATAATATACGAAATATATGTATTACTGGAACTTGCATTAGCAACTGTGATAGAAAAAAACTTTATTAGTCTCATTCCAATAAATAATTCTAAATAATCTTGTTAGTAGTCTCCCTTATCGTACAAAAGTTGATAATTCTTTTATGCAAACTCAATTCTGAATCTCTAAAATGGAGTGATTACCGTATAGTTAATGCTTTGCAACCAAATTCATGTATCAAAGTGGTAAAACAAACCCCTCTAAAATCACAGATTTAAAACTTTTTTGGATAATTCTCTCTAAATTTAATGGATAATTTGTCCATAATTATCATAAAATTAGGGAGACAAACAAAAATATGCTTTGAAATTCTAATAACATTACAGTAATTAATTGATATTATATTTTGGAACCTTATTTCCAAACATCTTCCATTATAAATTTTCAATCAAACCCCTCTGTAATATCTACATTTCCATGTAAAGCATTTCCATAAAAGTTTTCTCATCTTNACTTTATCTTCATATTTGAACTAAAAGTATTTAAAATAGAGTTCATATTCATAGTTCTTGAATACCCCAACAATTAAAGTTCTTGAATATTCCAAAGTTTATCGAGTTCATATAAAAAACCACTTATCTTTGTAGTGACAACACAGAAGACCTTTAAAAACTTGACTATTACTTCAACATTTTTTTCCAATAATCAATGGTTGGTGGCTTTGTTTGTTTGTTTCCATTATCATCTTCTTTGAAATATTCAAGATAGTCTAATTTTTTCGTCTAATACATTGAAGGTTTCTTCTAATTTCATGGTATGATCAAGCATAAAATAAGTGAAATTCCATCTAGTTACCGCATCAAAACTATTAAGTGCTTTACATTCAACATTCATTGTTGAACACAATTTTTAAATTTGGTCAATCTCTTGGAGGATGATCTAACATACCTCACTACCATATGAACATTAGAAATGGAGTCATCATTTACAATCAAGTTAATTATGTGGGCATAACACCTCATTGTAATATTTCTTTGACGAGTAATTCTAACATTTAAGCCTTCTCATAATATACGTATTACTGGAACTTGCATTAGCAACTGTGATAGAAAAAAACCTTATTAGCCTCATTCCAATAAATAATTCTGAATAATTTTGTTAGTAGTCTCCCTTATCATACAAAAGTTGATAATTCTTTTATGCAAACTCAATTCTGAATCTCTAAAATGGAGTGATTAATGCTTTGCAACCAAATTCATGTATCAAAGTGGTAAAACAAACCCCTCTAAAATCACAGATTTAAAACTTTTTTTGGATAATTCTCTCTAAATTTAATGGATAATTTGTCCATAATTATCATAAAATTAGGGAGACAAACAAAAATATGCTTTGAAATTCTAATAACATTCCAGTAATTAATTGATATTATATTTTGGAACCTTATTTCCAAACATCTTCCATTATAAATTTTCAATCAAACCCCTCTGTAATATCTACATTTCCATGTAAAGCATTTCCATAAAAGTTTTCTCATCTTTGAAAACTAGGAAAGTTGTTTTTGTTTTTAAATTTTTATTTTGAATTCAAAAATAAAATTTATTGTACAAAACAAACATTTTAAAAATCATGGTTTTGTGCGTATGAAACGCGTAGTCCTAAATCCCCAATCTGGCGATGACAAATGGTATCCGAACGTCTGACAAGTGGGTTCTTGCCAATGGCTTCGTCTCCGTTTTCAATTCCTTCCTCTCACTCTCTTTGTTGCTTTTTACCTGCCCCTTTTGATTTCTTCTGCTAACCCTCTTCTTTCCCGAAATCAACACCACAAACTGTTCCGCTTATGGATTAAGCAGCTCCGTCTATTCAATTCCATTACGCTTTCGTTCTGGCTTAGACGACAAAACCATCCACATCCCTCGACTGGAAATCTTCCCTTCTTTGATTTTGGCGAAGAATTTTGTCGTCTTCTTCAAGTATCTGCCAATTGCTCGCTTCCCTGATCCAGGAATCACGAACCATCCTCATTTTCTCTGTTCTTGAGACAGATAGAGAGAGAAACAGAGCTTGTTGATTGGTTTTCTTTAATGGGTTTCTTAGTTTCTCTCTTCAAACAGAAGGGTTTTGTTATTTTCTTGAATCTCTCGTTTCTCTCACTGGCTTGTGCTTTTTTAGCGATTCGATTTCACTCTCCAGAAGAAACCCAATTCCGTGTTCTTAACAACAGCTTCAGAAAACTCCATGGCACTGCTCAGGAAGATTGCCGGAATTTTATTGGTCTACCTGACTTTGAAGCTAAGTGCTCTGTTCTTAAATTCAACAACCCTTGTAACACCCAAGGCTATATAGATTATCTTTATGTTTTCTATTGTCAGTACGGAAGTTTTAGCATTCTGGGCTATACTCTGTTGTTTCTGTGGCTTCTTGTGTTGTTCTATCTTTTGGGTAACACTGCTTCTGAATACTTTTGCTCTTCCCTTGAGAGTTTGTCGAAATTGTTGAATCTATCACCAACAATTGCTGGTGTTACTCTGCTTTCTTTGGGTAATGGCGCACCTGATGTTTTTTCCAGCCTTGTTGCTTTCATGGGAGATGGAACTACTGATATTGGCTTGAATACTGTTCTTGGTGGAGCCTCATTTGTTACCTGCGTCGTTGTCGGAATCATAAGCATTTTGCTGCGTTTTCGACGGATTAAGGTTAATAGGTATGCCTTCATTAGAGATGTTTTGTTCCTCCTCTTGGTTCTTTTGTCTGTTTTTTTGATATTGCTTCATGGACATATCAATCTGTGGGGTTCCCTTGCCTTTTCTTCCATGTATCTTGTTTATGTTTTGGTTGTTTATGTCTCCCATGCCCAATGGCTGAGTTTGAGAAGGGATATTTTCCAACCCCTTTTGAAAGAGCCACCAAAGGATGAGTCTGAGGGCCAAAATGACGATGACGACTGTGAATGTTTGATTAATCCACCACACCTAAATGGTGTGAAAGTTATCTTATTTATAATCAAATCAATTACAAGGATATGGAAATAACAATGAATGGAAAGATATATATGATAATAGGCAAATATTAGATATTTTACTTATAATAAAATATAAAATATAATATATATGGTAAACTATAATTTATTACTAAATATCCTTAACAACGACGACAACAGTGTTAGAATCGACGTATACGATGTCTGTTTTTGTCCTAGTTTTTCGCCTTGTTGTGTTCTTTTCCTTCGCCTTCTTGAGATTCCTCTTTACTTGCCTAGAAGGCTGACAATTCCCACCATTGCTGAAGAAAACTGGTGTAGACTGTATGCAGTTGCTTCAGTGACATTAGCTCCCATTCTCTTAGCTTTTCTATGGGCATTTCACCACCAGAGCGATACGTCTTGGTCGAACGTAATCGTCTGCATCATCGCCTTGCTGGTCGGAGTTAGTTGTGGAATTGTTGCATTTGTGACAACTGAGAATTCAAGCCCACCAAAGAAGTGGCTGTTCCCATGGCTTGCAGCTGGGTTCACCATGAGTTTAACATGGAGTTATATTGTTGCTCAGGAACTGTTAGGCCTATTGGTTTCACTTGGCTACATAATGGGCATAAGCCCTTCAATTCTAGGACTGACCTTCCTGGCTTGGGGAAACTCTCTTGGGGATTTAGTTTCCAATGTGACCATGGCCTTGAACGGCGGGCAGCGAGGCGCCCAAATAGCCATCTCCGGCTGCTACGCCGGCCCCATCTTCAGCACGCTGTTTGGCCTTGGGATGTCCCTTGTTAGCGCTTCATGGAAGAAGTATCCTGAGCCGGTGGCCATCCCGGCTGACCCTTACGTGATGGAGACATTGGGGCTATTGGTAGGAGGGCTGCTATGGGCGCTTTTAAGTTTGCCAGGGAGAGAGATGAGGGTTGATGCAGTGTTGGGAGGAGGCCTTATGGCTATCTATTTGACCTCTTTGCTCTTAAGAGTGTTGCAAGCTCTTGGGTCTTCCCATTAGAACCATTTTTGACACTCTAACTCTTACTACCACAAAACAAAAACAATCTAATTAGTTAGTTATGTAAATTAATGAGGTTTTTTTTTTAATAGTTTTGACTTTGATTAGAATTTGAATCAATGAAGCTAGATTCAACGAAGGTTGAGATGTATTATATGTATATTTGAATACAATTAAGGTAACTATGTTGCTAGAGAGGGTTTATAGCAAAGAGGTCTTGTTTAAGAGACCTCTAGCCATTTCCAAAAGGTTGAGGCACCTAGTTGTCTCGATGCATTTCCCTAATCGGCTTATGTCTATCTAAAAAATAGAGGTATGAAAGTGGAAAGGGTAACGAAGAATCTGATAATACCGTTCACACTATTAATAGCTTGGAGAGCTAGCTACCTTAGTCATTCTTGGAAGTCGTGAAGGTCTACTAGGTTCTTACTAGCATATAGGCAGTTTAAATTTCATATCTCGTTTCTAAGATATTTAGGATTAACTCCTCGAGCTAATTCATTCTCTTAGTGCATATCAGTCTAGACCTTTGACTTCGAGTATAAATTTCTTATGAACTTCTTAATAGAAGTTATGAGAAATCTTTTTCTTAGGTAACATATAAAAAATTTAGAATCTAATTCCAAAAAAAATTCACGAATCTATGAAAAAACTAAGGCAAAAAAATCTATGAACTTTACCTTCAAACACATCGATTCTTGACGGAAAAGGATGAACGAGATGTAGCTATTCTCTATTGACTACTGAATTGCTCTTAGTGAATAGTTATTGGTGAAGAGTGATCGGTGAAAATTAGATCTCTCTTAATAAAATTTTGGAAATTCCATCGAAGTATTCAATTAGTTAGAAATTAGATGAAAATCAAACTCTCATTGGAAAATACCTCAAAATGGTCCCAAGGTAAAAGAAAATTCAATTCAATCAAACAGACAAGGTCCAATTAAGTTTAATTAAGTGATATCACCTACGTTTGTCTTTCTAGAAACTGTCAATTGATTCAATCTTCTATTCTCGTGATTCTTAACTTGATTCAACTCGTTTATGATCATCCTGTAAAATATTAATTTTTTCGATTAATAGGCAAAAGTTCATAATTCACTCGGAATTAAGATTTAGTCACATATGATCATCTGTGAAATATTATTTTTTTTTATTAATAGATTTATGAAGATAGATTAAATACCCTCACTCATATATCTCTACCTGAGTTAGTTAGATCAAATCATTTATAACAATTTATGGAGTATAAATCAAATCATTTATAACAAGAAGTATCGTATCAATAGTTTTACTAGGATAAAACACTCAACATTATCCATATTGTTGAACACAATTCTTTTATACGTAAAACTTACTATTAAAGATTAAATAATTAATTACTAAAAAAAAAAAATTATCAATATCATCCAAATTGATTCCCAAAAACGAAAAGAAAATAAAAAAGCTAAAATCCTCCCAATATGATTTCATTATGAATCCTTCCAATATCTTCCAAGGATCAAAAGCCACGGTTAAGCCGAGTTGATTGGGACGCCCAAACAAAGACCATAGACTACATTGTTTGATTTTAAAAACCCACAAAACTTACTAAAACCCAACCAAGTGCTCCTTAAAATTTAGGAACCAATAGCATTTGCCCCTTGAATAACATTATCCAATGCAACAGGAAACCAATTTCAAGGAGATAATGTATAATATGTTACAAATGCCTCCTCCAATTAAGCTAAAAACTCCCTCTAAAAAGTTATCATAATATTCTTGCTCATCAGAAGAGTTCAAGCATTCCATGAACATAGAGATCAAATAAATGCTAGTGAACCAACAACAACCAACGTACTTTGGCTTTCTAAAGTATTGGGAGAAAAAATTTAAAACCGACGGTGATCAAAATCTGGAGGGATTTATTAAGACTTCTTGGCTGATCCTGGATCCCATAATCTTACAAACCTTGTCTTCTTGAACAGAAGAAGCTTTAATGCCAAAGCAACTAAGAAGACATTGATAGTCCAGAGTTACTTTGATTTCCTTTGTTGATCGGAAGCTCGGGCTCCCGCAATCTTACAAACAGGCTCATCCTTTGACTGAAGAAGCTTCAAGGCAGGATGAACCTTGAGGTCACCCATAACCAATTTTTGGCCAACATCTAACTCACTAAGATCGACATCGATAAATGGAGGAACAATATCGGCAGGGCAAAGGTATTTAACTGTCCTCTTAATTGTATTCAAATAAGATCCTGTAAAATTTTTCAAACATTAGAAAAATGTTCACTACAGGAGTAAGAATATAATTGTTCTCTCCTTTGAAGATAACATAATCAGGATCGACGCCTGCAATTTTTTGGAGTAAGAATATAATTGTTCTCTCCTTTGAAGATAACATAATCAGGATCGACGCCTGCAATTTTTTCGTAGGAATGCCAGAACATTTTTAAGTAAACCAGAAACTTTTCAGAAAGTAAGAATGCAGAAACAAGATGCAAGTACTTCCTTTACTGAATTTTTTGTAATGAGAAAAGGAGTACATATAAAAATGCCCTACAAAATCAGAAACAAGATGCTAGAACATTTTTGTAATGAGAAAAGGAGTACATATAAAAATGCCCTACAAAATCAGAAACAAGATGCTAGAACAATGCAGAAACAGAAACTAGATCCTTTAAACTCGATCCATCAGAAAACAAACCTGATGTTTCAATTTAACAGAAGCTAAATTCTGGTAATATTAACATATTTAGATCCATAACCCCATCTAGCTGGAGAATTCAAGAATCCCATGTCAATGATAGTTTCAATGTAAATCTGTAACGGCCCAAGCCCACTGCTAGCAAATATTGTCCTCTTTGGGCTTTCCCGTTCTGGTTTCCCCTTAAATGTTTTTAAAACTGCAACTGCTATTTCCACATCCTTATGGGCTTTCCCGTTCTGGTTTCCCCTTAAATGTTTTTAAAACTGCAACTGCTATTTCCACATCCTTATAAAGGATATTTTGTTCTCCTCCCAACCGATATGGGATCTCACAATCCACCCCCTTCAGGGCCCAACGTTCTCGCTAGCACTCATTCCCTTCTCCAATTGAGGTGGGACCCCCCAAATCCACCCCACTCGGGATTCAACATTTTTGCTGGCACACCGCCCTGTGTCCACCCCCCTTCGGGGGGCTCAACCTTCTCGCTAACACATCGCCGGGTGTCTGGCTCTGATACCATTTATAACAACCCAAGCGCACCACAAACAAATATTGTCCTCTTTAGGCTTCCCTTTCGGGCTTCCCCTCAAGGTTTTTAAAACACTAGAGAGAGGTTTCCACACTCTTATAAAGGGTGTTTCGTTCTCCTCCCCAACCGATGTGGGATCTCACAAAAACCCACCCGAACAAAAAGCTATTATATCTTCAAATCTTATAAATTACTGCATAACATTTATAGACTTCAAAGAAAATCAAATAAAAGGAACTTAGTCTTGCAGCAGTACCTTTCCTCAATCCAGGACATACATCTTCCCCTCGGAAAACAAGAGGTACATCAACTTTTAATAAAGCGTGTGAAGGTGCCCTTATGTACATCTTCCCCTCGGAAAACAAGAGGTACATCAACTTTTAATAAAGCGTGTGAAGGTGCCCTTATGAAAGTAACATTAAGTGGTGCATCTGTTCCCGCATGAAGATGAATCTGAACAAACATGGATGGTGCAAGTTCAGAATGGGCATTATATTATATAAATATTCTCACAAGATTTTACACTAACTTACAAACAAAATTAAACTAAACCCATCTTCTTATCTTCTTATATTCTCACAAGATTTTACACTAACTTACAAACAAAATTAAACTAAACCCATCTTCTTATCTTCTTATTAATCAAGACAATACATGACATATAATGATGATTGAAACTCCAGTGCGCACAATGCTCTCAGCTCCTTTACCACCATGAAACAATCAATTATTCTAATCCTCCTCATAAATCATCTCACAAACTCAATAAGTTGGAAATTTCATGAAAAATCCAAAGCGAAATTTAGTCCTCATAAATCATCTCACAAACTCAATAAGTTGGAAATTTCATGAAAAATCCAAAGCGAAATTTAGTCCATCCAGACAAGATAATGGAGTACCTTCCGAGGTAAAACCCGAACCTTCTCAACAATATCCCCGGATTCGAACTCGGACCGAACTTCGAGATCAAAAAGCCTGGAGAGGAAGAAAGAGCGACCTAGATGATTTACAAGCTTCCTAACTTGATTAGTCCGTACAGATATGAGACGCTTATTTCCGCCATGCTGACCGTCCTCTTGCTCGAACACGATGCTTGGAGTGCGGCCAACCTTGCGCTCTTTATCCGCCATGCTGACCGTCCTCTTGCTCGAACACGATGCTTGGAGTGCGGCCAACCTTGCGCTCTTTAGCGGAAATGTTTTTTCCGGAGATGGAGCGCGGAATGGCGAGGATTGTCTCGGCGAACTTCGGATCTGGCTTCGGAAAACCCTCCAAGTACGAAAATGAAGGTTCGGGATCGGAATCGAGGGGTGGAGCGGTGGCGGTGGCAGCGGAGGAAAACCGCCGGAGGAGGAGGACTCTTGAGAGAGTAGGGGAGTGGTAGAATGGCGGTGGCAGCGGAGGAAAACCGCCGGAGGAGGAGGACTCTTGAGAGAGTAGGGGAGTGGTAGAAGCGTAGCATTGGGCGGAGAGGGATGAACGGAAGGGCTTAAGGGAGGGTTTTAGTGGAGAAATCTGAATGGGTATTGGACCGATTTAGATCAATTCGTAGAAGGTGAGTTCCGTCGAGACGGCCGTAGAGGTTGAAGAGACAGAGACAGAGACTTCGCCGCAGGCTGCTGGTGCCGTCGCCGTTGGAGTGAAATGAGAGCGAGAGTTTGAGGTGAGGCGGCTGGAGTTGTCGACTGAACCTGCGGGTTAAGATGTACTCCTGTTTTCCGGCTTTTTTCACAATATGGGCTGTGGGCTAACGGGCCTTTTCCATTTCGGTTTAAATTTCATTTAAAAATGTGAATTTAAATAATAATAATAATAATTAAAAAAATTAAAAAAAAAATGTTAATTAATAAAAATACGTGGAGTTTATGTTTGGACTTTTAGAAGTTTTAAGTTAAAAATTACCCATATAGTTATAAATTTAAAATTAACCATATAGTTATAGTTTTTTTTTTAATGAAAATAGTTAATAATTTGTTTCTAATTAATTTTCGAACATTTCAATAAATTTTTTTTAAAGTTTGAAAAAATATTTTTTAACTTTCCAAAATTTTATTAATAGTCTTCTGCTCTCAAAGGTTGGGTTAATACTTTTAGACAAAATATATATATATATATATATATATATATATATATATATATATATATATATATATTATTAGACCGGGAAAGAGTAATTAGTACCCTATTTCAAAAATATATGTGACTTCAAAAGTAGTATTAAAGTATTTTAATCTTTAAAAAAAAAAGTTTTGGAAAGCCTCTCGCCTATATGCTAGTTTGCAAAGCGAGAGCCCTTTGGGAGGTCGTGAGTTCCTTTCCACATTCGGTACATTTGAATCTCATCAAGTTTATCATTAGGTTCTTATATCAAGGCCCTAACCAAACGGGACCAATCTAGGTATGCCCTCGGTATACAAGTAAACTCCAACTAATCAAGATGTTCGCTACTAAAATTAGCTAGTTCACCATAATAATTCTTACAAGGCACTGCTAAGGATATGGAAATGTTTTTAACTCGTCATGGTCAATCTTTAAGAGTCTTCTACGATTCATGTAATCCATCATGTCCTACTCAAGTCTGCACATATCTTTGGACCATATTCTGCTCAAAACACCATATAGGACACTTAGTCATTTGTCATACTAAACACGTTAAATCATTCGAGCAAAAATCAAAAGTGCAAACATGTTGGTTCATTAAAGGCATACAGACCCTAATCACAGTCAAAAGTTTGTTAGACGAACACGACTCTCCACAATGGTATGATATTGTCCACTTTGAGCATATGCTCTCATGGCTTTGATTTGAGCTTCCTCAAAAGGCCTCATACCAATGGAGTTAGTATTCCTCACTTATAAACCCATGATTATTCCCTAAATTAGGCCGGAAGCAGTGCAAGAAAATCCTTTTAGCCAGAGTTCTCCTTGCACTTTTCTCTATCCTGTTCTTTGTGTTCATCTAGATCGAGCGTGTGCGTTGTTGTGCGACCCTAACAACTGGTATCAGAGCTAGGCGAAATTCACCACGATCTGTGAAGATGGAAAGTTCAAAGATTGGAATTGAGAAGTTCGATGGATCCGATTTCGATTTCTGGAAGATGCAGATTGAAGATTATCTGTACCAGAAAGATCTTCACGAACCTCTATTGGGGGTGAAGCCGAATACCATGACCACGGAGCAGTGGAAGCTCAAGGATCGAAAAGCCTTAGGGATGATCCAGTTGACGCTATTTAGAAACGTGGCTTTTAACATCATTAAGGAGAAGACAACGTCAGATCTGATGAAAGCGCTGTCGAATATGTACGAAAAACCGTCGGCTATGAACAAGGTGTATTTGATATGGAGATTGTTCAACCTACAGATGTCTGAAGGTGGATCTTTTGTTGATCATATAAATGAATTCAATATGATCATAAGTCAATTGAGTTCGATGGAAATTAATTTCGAGGATGAAATTAAAACATTGATTTTGATGTCATCTTTACCCGAGTCGTGGGATACTGTTGTTGCCGCAATCAGCAGTTCGCGAGGATCTGATAAATTGAAGTTTGATGAAATTCGAGATGTAGTTCTCAGCGAAAGTACTCGCAAACGAGAAATTGGAAATTTATCTAGTAGTGCTCTCAGTGTTGACCAACGGGGAAGAAGTAAACCGAAGGGCCCAAACAAAGGGCAATCAAAATCAAAGAACCGAGAAAAATCTCCAAATAGACCAAACGTAACGTGTTGGAATTGTGGAGAAAAAGGTCACTTTCGGACAAGTTGTACAAGACCAAAGAGGAAGCAGAATCACAAATCTGGAGATGATGACGATTCTATAAATTCAACAAAAGACATTGGGGATGCTCTAATCCTTAGCGTGGACAGTTCGATTGAATCCTGGATTTTGGATTCAGGTGCATCTTTTCATTCGTCTCCAAATAAAGAGTTGTTCAGAAATTTCAAGTCTGAAAATTTTGAGAAGGTGTATCTTGCCGACAACAAAGATTTGGAGATTAAAGAAAAAGGAGATGTCTGCATAAAAACTCCGACAGAAAATCAGTGGACATTAAAGGATGTCAGATATATTCCTGGACTCAAAAGGAACCTGATCTCTATTGATCAAAGTTAGGGAAGAGTTCGTGGAAGATTATGAAGGGTGCTACGGTGGTAGCACGTGGCTCAAAATCTGGAACCTTATACACCACTGCAGGGTGTATGAACATAGCTGCTGTTGCTGAGAGTGCTTCAAATTCAAGTCTACGGCACAATAGACTCGAACATATGAGCACGAAAGGAATGAAGAGGCTGGCTGCGAAAGGAGTTTTAGAAGGTCTGAAATCTGTTGATGTGGGTCGTTGTGAGAACTACGTTATGAGCAAGCAGAAACGAGTTAGCTTCACAAGGACCGCCAGAGAATTGAAGAAAGTGCGGTTGAAAATGGAACCAGATGTGGAGCAAGGTTCCAAGACAACAAAGCAAGTGGGAGTTGAGGTTGAGTTGCGGAAAAAATTACCTAATGATCTTGTAGCAGATACTCAACAAACTTCAGAGGAACCAGCAGTAGAGCAAGTGACACCTGAACCGGTGTTGAGAAGATCATCCTGTACTATCAGAGTACCAGATATGTATGTACCTTCATTTCACTATCTGTTGCTGATGAATGGGAACCACAACCTTTTGAGGAGGCCCTACAGTTGGAGTATACAACCAAGTGGGAGCAAGCCATGGATGATGGGACGTCTAGGCTTCAAAAATGCGTTGTACTGAGACTGAGTACGTGGCAATAGCTGAAGCTGGAAAGAAGACGATATGGATGACTGACTATCTGGAAGAATGAGCAAGAAGTAGACGAAGATACTCTTTCTAGAGATAGTCAAAGTGTCATACAGTTGGCGAAGGAACCCGATCTATCATTTAAAGAGAAAACACAGAAGACGATACCATTTCACTTGCAGGTTAGTGAAAGATGGGGATGTGTTTGGAGAAGATAGAGGGTGCAAAGAATCCAGCAAACATGTTGACAAAATGTGTTGATGTTAGAATATTGAGGTTGTGCAAAGCCTCAATTGATATGGTGCCATGAAGATGCTCATGGTCGTTTGAGAATGAAATTCTTGGTTGACTAGATCAAGTGGGAGAATTGTTAGGTTATGGAGTCTGTTGCTTATTTATAGCTTGGTCAACGGTTATATCCGGTAAAGCTATATCTGGTAAAGCTATATTTGGCAAAGCTATATCCGACAAAGCTATATATGGTAAATAGCTATATATAGTAGTGTTGGGTTTTATGTTCTAAAACTAATAGTTTGTAAACAAAGACATATTCTATTTAAAATAAAGTTATTATTGAATAAAGTGAACTTTACGATCATTAATCTAAATTCAATAAACTAAGAACACTCTGGCTATAGTATGATTACTTGAATGATATGTAGAGACATAAAAGTGGATCAAGTTCAAGTATATAGTCAAAATGATCTATAGTATAAGGATAAGGCTGAGTACCTTATTCTGGAGACACTATGGATGCGGCCCACTTTTGTATATGATATAAACAATATGATCACTAAATTGTACAGGTGGAGACATGTGAGTGGGGGCGTCCTATGCAATGAGTATTGCATAAGATCGGACCATGAAGAAAATCACTCTCTCTTTATAATGTCGTTTACTGTTGAGACTGATTTTCTTTTCATTCAATGACCTAGGTAACTCGATCTTAATCCTGAGCTAACCATGAACTCCTGTTCATTCAAAATTATCCTTAGATTTGCATGGGTGAGAGTGGCTCGAGTTCGCCGACTCAATAGGCCTCCCATTTCAGAGGTAAGATTGGGTGAATAGCTGGGGACGTGGGGTGCAAGATGAAATTCGCTCCTACCCACTTTTAGGGATAGAAGAGAGGTAGTTCCCTTAAGTACTGACTCCAGGTCTTGAACAAGGGGCCCCACCCACTCATTGGCCTGAGAGGAATTTGGTTTACTAGTTGAACCACAAACCAATTGTTCACAAGAGGATCAGTGGGACATAAGGAACAAGAAGTAACTTCAGGGGTAAACGGCTAATTGACCCAGCTCTAATTATGAACAACCTGTGAAGGATCGACTTACTAATCATGGTTATATCAAATGGACAGAAATATATCTATAGTGAGGGGAGTGCAACTGCTAGGCTATTGTGGAGTGTCCTAGTAGTTAACGAATGTTGGTTAACAAGGTTAATGAGTTTTACCAGTTAATCTTGGATCGTTGGAGTTCATGATCTATAGGTCCATTAGGTCCCTCTGCTAGTTCATATCGGACTAAACCATAGAATAGTGTGACGAGTGAGTTCGAAGTGTTCGAATTCAAATTAGGGAATATGCGCTACATATATACGATATATTTAACTACATTTTTGTTTTATTTACAAATTAATCAAAAAGAGAGAATTATGTGTCGGAATTGATTGGGATTGGCATTTGAATTAATATTAAATATTAATTAAATAGTTTAAATTAATCATTTAATGTTACTTTAATTTGAAATTAATTATTCAAATTAATTGTTGAATTAAAATGAGGAAATTCAAAATGTTGACTCCATTTAATGGAAAAATCCATGTTAGTAGAATTTTGAGTGTTAAAATTTAGTTAACTCAAACATGCATGCTTGCCACAAAATCCCAAACATTTGAGTGAAATTTGAGTGTCGAAATTTGGTGATCTCAAATTTGCATGAACATGCAATCATGACTCTTTAAATAGAGTGATCATGGTATATGGAAGGTCTTCTTCCTTGAAAAAGACCTTGAGAAAATTCTCACAAGCTTTCTCTTCATATATACTAAATCCCTCCCAAATTTAGTTACTGGATTCCACAATCCCGTTCTAAGATTGGAGGATAGTGGAGAAGACACTAGTGGTGGTTCGAAACCGGTTCGTGAAGAAAAATGAATTTGAACTACAAAAGGTTAGTATTCAAATTTATTAAGTTTTAATACTTATGAACATGCTAGTTATTTACTATAATTGATGTTCTAAAAGTGCCTAAGATCCAAATGGCTTCCGCATGTGTTATATTAACACCATCGAGTAGATGGTTAAATCTGATAAAACTATATATAGTAAACTGAACTATATATATATCACGTCCGGTAGAGCCTTGAAAATGTACTTTCTGTATTCTCTATAATTCTCTCTTACTGTACATGCGTGAAGTCATCAATTAAAAAAAAATCCTTTTAGCCAGAGTTCTCCTTGCACTTTTCTCTATCCTGTTCTTTGTGTTCATCTAGATCGAGCGTGTGCGTTGTTGTGCGACCCTAACAAAGTTCACATTTATACTTTATAGAGCATATAAGTAAGCATAAATCACGTAAATCAAAGTAAAACAATCAATCGACTTATCTCATACTCAACATAATCGAATTAACCAATCTAGGTTATAACAAATAGGCTTAGGGACTCATTTCAGTGTATCAGTCATTTTAACCAATCGTAGTTCGAAAATCATGTTTCAGATATCTAAGTATGATCTTTTCTAACATACAATGTCATTATCATAGTTTCAAAGTATTCTAACATTATTCCCACATTATTTCTTATGAAAAATCCAAGGTGACTACTTATTTAAGAGTGATCGGTGGCTTGGTTCCCAAAATTTCAAAACTCTAAAACTTTTCAAAAGTAAAAGTAAAAAAAAAAAAAAAAAAAAAAAAAAAGTCTGTTCAATTTTACCCTTGTTTTAGTAGTAATTGACAATAACTTCAAAAGTAGCTTCGTTGTGAAAAGCTCTACAAACTTAGTGAAAGAATCAAGAAGCAGATATGCTTGTACGAGGAGATCCAAATTGAAGTAGGGGTAGAGTTTTGTGCATTTTTTGTGAATTCAAACAACGTATCGAATTATCCTTCTTCTTAACAAACAGTACCGGCGCACCCTAAGGGGACACGCTAGGGCGAATGAAGCTTTGGTCCAGTAGATCTTATAACTACACCTTAAGTTCCTTCAATTCTGCTGACACCACACGGTAAGAAACTTTAGAAATGGGACTAGTTCCTAGTTCAAGTTCTATGTCAAATCCTACTGTTCTAAAAGGGGGAATTCCTAGTGAATCCTTTGAAAAGATGTTCGGGAATTCACTCACTAATGGTATTGTATCCATAGTCTTCTCTTTCCCTTTTGTATCTATTGCACAAGCTAATTTTGTCCACTCTCCTTGTTGGATTAGTTTTTTGGCCTTCATCATCGAAACTAGTTTAGGGGTAACTCTAGTACATGCGCTCTTGAACTTAAAACTAGATCCTGGTGGCAATGAGAATACTACATTCTTCTTGTAACAATATATACTAACATAGTTTTCAGCTAACCAATAAATCCGTAGTATTACGTCAAAATTCGTCATGCTAACAATTATTAGGTCTACATTTAAAGTTTGTCCGGCTATTATTACTTGCCCATCTTTTACCCTATCTCTAGAAACTAAGTCTACCCCGCTGGGTACTAAAAGTTAACACACTCAATAGAGGTTCTAGTTCGAACCCGACTTGATTAACAAATGACACATATGAATGAACACATAGAGTCTGAATCAAATATCGTTAAAGTGTAATGTCCCATGATGGATAGTGTACCTCTCACCACTGTGTCCGATTTGTTAGCGTCCATATTGGTGGATGCATACGCTCTTACCTTGTAACGACCCAAAATTTTCTACTTAATTTAAGGTCGCTACTGTATACGTACCATAAACATTGAATGCGGAAGACTTCATTTAAATTACATAAAACATAATCTTTAACTTAAAACACAACCATGGACTTACTTGTTGCGAAACATCTTTAAAACGACACAACAAAAGACCCGAAATAAAATAAATAAGCGTTTAAGTTTAAAACATCCTATTCTAGCCTAAGTCTAAGAAAATAAATACCACTATCCTATGCATGTGCCATAATCTCGAGTTGCAATGTCGTCGTCAGTCGTACAGGAATGCCTTGCCTTAACCTAAAGAATGTAGTAGCACATGGTTTGAGTATTTAAAGAAATACTCAACAAGTAAGTGACCCCACTATTGAGGTTAAATGCAACAATCACATGTAATGAAATGAATGGGACCTAACTTTCGTTTCGTTTTTCTTACGGTGTTGTCCTAACGGGTAATCGTGGATGTGTACCATATACTCTACACACAACCCATACGTGCGAGTATGGGCTCACTAGCTAGTTCGCACACCACTGTGCCACTTTCCTTATCCGGTGGGCATACTCTAGGAGCCTCTTATGCCAGGACCAGTTAGAACTAGTGACCGTCACGGCAGAGCTATACAAAGCATAACGATCGTTGTCCTGCCATTGGAAGTACGCGTCCGTATCCTCGTGATGGGATAGGGGTATCCCCCCAGATGCATGAACACACATAATGCATGAGGTCCCCACTACTTCTACAATTTCATTATCCTTTAATACAACCCCGCTAGCATTAAGTACATATCATATCATTTTTCATATCGTTTCAGATATCGTTCATCATTCATATCATATCGTTTCTCATTATTCTGTAGTCAAATCATACATAATTCTAACGGGGTTATATTTCATGTCATTATCTAATTTCATGTCATTCATATTATGTTGTATACACACAATTT